ACCCACCCACACGACGGAGCTTACATTCAATGAACCAGGTATACCCACCCACTCGACGGGGCTTACATTCAATGAACCAGGTATACCCACCCACATGACGGAGCTTACATTATATGAACCAGGTGTGCCCACTCACACGATGGAGCTTACATTCTATGAACCAGGAATATCCACCCACACGACGGAGCTTACATTCAATAAACCAGGTATACCCACCCACACGACGGAGCTTACATTCAATGAATCAGGTATACACATCCACACGACGGAGCTTACATTCTATGAACCAGGTACACCCACCCACACGACGGAGCGTACATTCAATGAACCACGTATACCCACCCACATGAGAGAGCTTACATTCTATGAACCAAGTATACCCATCCACACGAGGGAGCTTACATTCTACGAACCAGGTATACTCACCCACATGACGGAGCTTACATTCAATGAACCAGGTATACCCACCCACACGACGGAGCTTACATTCAGTGAACCAGGTATACACACCCACACGACGGAGCTTACATTCTATGAACCAGGTATACCCACCCACATGACGGAACTTACATTATATGAACCAGGTATACCCACCCACACGACGGAGCTTACATTCAATGAACCAGGTATACCCACCCACACGACGGGGCTTACATTCAATGAACCAGGTATACCCACCCACATGACGGAGCTTACATTATATGAACCAGGTATACCTACCCGCATAACAGAGCTTACATTATATGAACCAGGTATACCCACCCACACGACAGAGCTTACATTCAATGAACCAGGTATTCCCACCCACACGACGGAGCTTACATTCAATGAACCAGGTATACCCACCCACACGACGGAGCTTACATTCAATGAACCAGGAATACCCACCCACTCGACGGGGCTTACATTCAATGAACCAGGTATACCCACCCACATGACGGAGCTTACATTATATGAACCAGGTATACCCACCCACACGACGGGGCTTACATTCAATGAACCAGGTATACCCACCCACATGACGGAGCTTACATTATATGAACCAGGTGTGCCCACTCACACGATGGAGCTTACATTCTATGAACCAGGTATGCCCACTCACACGATGGAGCTTACATTCTATGAACCAAGTATACCAATCTACACGAGGGAGCTTACATTCTATGAACCAGGTATACCCACCCACATAACAGAGCTTACATTATATGAACCAGATATGCCCACTTACCTGTCGGAGCTTACATTCTATGAACTAGGTATTCCAACCCACACACGGAGCTTACATTTAATGAACTAGGTATACCCACCCACACGACGGGGCTTACATTCAATGAACCAGATATACCCACCCACATGACGGAGCTTACATTATATGAACCAGGTATGCCCACTCACACGATGGAGCTTACATTCTATGAACCAGGTATACCCACCCTCATGATGGATTTTATTTCATAAAAATCAGGCACATTTTCACGGTGATTATTAATTCTTGTTAACAGATATATCCAAGTGATGAGATTTTTTCTCAAGAACTTGTTATATGCACCACAAGTACTTTCTTCTTATTAACTAGGTGCATCCACCAAATCAAGAATATTTCCCCCTTAATAACCAGGTATCCATATGACAAAACTTAATTTCTATGAACCAGTTTCACCTAAATCAAGAACATTTTCCCTTAATAACCAGGTATCCATATGACAAAACTTAATTCTATGAACCAGTTTCACCTAAATCAAGAACATTTTCCCTTAATAACCAGGTATCCATATGATGACCTTAATTTCTATGTAGTAGGTTCACCAGAAAGAAAAACATTTACTCTTATTAACTTATTAAATACATTGATTAGAAGATTCTATTTTTATTTTTTTTGTATAGCAGAAATTACCACAAGAAAAGATCCCACTTTTTAAAACCATAAACACCGGTACCATCTTATTGATGTTAATCAAGTATTGTACGAAACTGCCCTAGATCCATGAGTCTATGAACTGAATTAGGCCTCGTTCATAATCTTGATTGTTCTTTAGGAGATAGCTTGGTTTTAATACCCGAGAGAAGATAAACTTTAGTCCATTATTCTGTTGCATTCAGAACCTGGTGAGCAAGTGAGTCTATTTTGATCTGCTGTACTTTCATTAATAAAATCAGGTTTTACTGCTTACACAAAATTTGAGATTCATAATTCAATCCAGGAACAATTAATGAAGACATGCTATTAAAATACTTATGCGCTTCTATCCTTGATATATAATTATTAGTAATATCAACTGGACAACAACGTCTTCCTATCGGTAGTGAATAAGGCTTGTAAAAGATGTTTTCATTGTATTCTCAAACACACAACAAAGGTTGACTCATTTACTGATACATTATACACTAAACATTTATTTCATCTACTCATTGAAAACGTACGCTTTTCAGAACGTGACAATGTTATCTTGTTCTACTATTTAAAAGTGCACGACAAAACTTTTTCACACGGTCTGGGTTAGCGCATCCCTGTTAGTACAGGTTCCTTATTTTTACCACGTTGTGAGATCTGACATCATCCAATGTAATTACATGATCTCACGAAACCATACTCTTGGCTAAATATGCGCCACTTGAGCTGATTTCTAGCATTTGTATGTTACTTTATAGAGGATCCTACAGTACATTTTCATAATTACTTACTTCTGGTTTATGCCCCTAGAGGGCAGTATCGCCTGATATAATTGTAACATAAAGAAACTATTGTCCGGATTAATTGACAATATAATAATAGGTCGAGAAACATTTGAAATTCAAACCTTGTGAGAAAGCCTCTAGACATGCAAGTATAATCATCAATACGTATCCTAAAAACTCGAACCCTTATCAAGACTTTTATAAATTGAATGGCAAAATATGATTATCAGCGTGAGGTACGAGGTGAAAGAGACAACCTCCGGTGAAAGGTACTCTCTTCTGAAAGATTACACCATCATCACGAATGCGAGTTAAAATAAAAGACTGCGTCTGTGAAACTCTACCAATTACATTTATTGCTTTAGATAACAAGTCGTGGAAAAATAGTTTCCATAAATTTCACAGAAGATGCTAGAGGCGGAAGCCAATTCTCTTGATTAAACAACAAACTTTTATCCATTATTTTCCCTACTTATATCTGCTTATAACTAGTTTTTAGTGGTCTTTTATACTTTAGCCTATATAAAGATGAGCAAAATGTATAGCATTTTACTAATTTTTAATCAGTCCTTCCTTACAGAAAGAGGACTATTTATTATATCCACGCTGTTAGCGCTCTTGGTGGCACATTGTTAACTCGGAAATAGACTGATTTATTATGTTTATATAATAGCAGAAAATAGAATGTAAACGACTTTCATGAATGAATCACTGACAGATACACAACTCTTTTATCTATATTCTAATATCTGGTAAAAACATATAGAATAGAGTGCATAAAAAAGTTACCAAAATTCAGATCCCAGCTATCTCTTTATTATTAATCAAATAGGCTGACTGTGCAATGATCCATAATTTTCTAGAAGTGCGGATAGGCCTGCTCGGGAAAACAGCCATATTTCATTCGTCCTGGATTATTAAGTAAAACGTTTGATATTAATGCAAGGAGGGGGAAAGCATCTGTTCTAACGGTGTGTAATTTGTTTACAATTACTTTGTTGCTAAAGGACTAGTTTAGATCAAAAATATGTTTCTAAACACAGTATATACTAATTTGACTTGACAGCTCTTCTTACGTGTTTCAAAAGTTTATATATATAAATGAATAAAATGAAGTGATGTTTTAAATTGCGATTTTTTTCTTTTTTTCCCTCTTAGTGTCATCTGGTGATAAATAGATCTATTATAATTGAGGCATAGTATTTTTGAAAAAATATCCTTAGAATTTTAATGAACCAACTGACAGCTTCACTGTCTTGTTATTTTAAGCAATAATTGTTGAAGGTTCTCTATTGTGCTAATCAATTTAAAGGTTTTTTAGCAATTGGAAATATTTATTTCATACAAATGTTTTTGACACTGTTTTTTTTATTATCAGTTTAGGATCTACTTCATAATGACTAAAACAAGAGTTATAAATAAACGAATATAAATTGTCGAACGTAGAAAAACAAAAAACTGGACAAAAGCTACCAAACTTACCAAATTAACTACTTCTAATGCATTAAATTTCTATTTTACGTACAATTTACATCTGTTGTAGGCCTAAACAGAAACGTTATGCTTTGAACATAGTTAATCGAGAATATTTAAACCCACAGTTTATTGGTTTTTTTTATTTCTCATTATACGTTTCTTTCTTTCTTTGCAATCACTATGAGGTTAACTTACTTTAATTTCCACACATATGGCAATGTCTATATCCACTCTTAATAGATTGTTCACTAATTTAAATTAAACATTTTGGGTAAATTCAATGAGTTGCATACACGGCCGTTCCCCCATGGGTCAGCGGTAAGTTTGTGTATTTACAACGGTAAAATCTGAGGTTCAGTTCCTCGTGGTAGTAGAGAAAACGCAGATGACCCAAGAGGTGGTTCCTGAAGTCTATTAAGAGATAGAACAGCATACCATCCAGTTGCTGTACAGTCTTTTGTAAATTGTGATATAAAAAGGTAAATAAAAATAAGAAAAATTAATAACAGTAATCAAATAGCTAAATGAAATAAAAAAGAAGGCTGCCATTATTAAAAAGAGGTTTTAGGGAGTAGGTAATGGTTCATTTTACTTTTGTATAGAATAAAAAGCTTTACCCATTTGCGGAAGTTTGGAAATGACGTTTCAAATGGTTCGGGCAGACCTTAATCAGGGCAGTGTAGATAGGTCATGGAGGGGATAAACAGGGGAACGTACAGTGTAGTAAGGTCATGGAGGGTTAAACAGACGAAAGTACAGAGTAGGAATGTTATAGAACATTCAACAGAGGAACGTAAAGTGTGGTAAGGTCATGAACGTATAGAGTGGGAATGTCATGGAAAGTTCAACAAAGGAACGTACAATATACGAGGGGTCATGAAGGGTTAACAGACGAACGTACAGTGTAGTAAGGTCATGGAGGGTTAAATAGATAAATGTTCAGAGTAGGAATGTCATTTAAAGCTCAACAGAGGAACGTACAGTGTAGAAGGGTTAAATACAGGACCACGTAGTGTAGTGTCAAGTTAAGTTAGAAAAAGACTATTTATTTTTGTTTCTAAATGATGGTCATGTTTATTGTAGAAATTTTCAGATGTCAGGCAAGAAGTATCCATGTCAGTAATGATGTAACTGTAAACAAGAAAAACACATATATTTGTCGCCAGCCATCACTTCTGGCAAGAGAGGAAGGACATGTCATAAGGTTTGGTTAATCTACCACGTCGCAAACTGATAGATCATACATCTCATTACGTATTTTACAGAGTTTACTGCTGAAGCAGAAGAATGATTAAAATATGCAGTACAACTAGCTAGAATTCACAAAAGAGTAACTATCATCCCAGAAACCACAAGGGCTCAGTGAGTATCCAAATAAGTATTTTGAATTGAAATAGCAATTTCCAAAGGACTAGCGAGTCCCCCCCCCTCCCAATAGCAAATCCCAGATCTATTCTGGTGGTACAAAGGGTGAATTTTTATTTTATTCTTTCATTGACAGTTTCAATTTACAGTCGTCATACTTTTAACCCTTGAAAAGTGATAGTAAAAACTAAAATATTTTGTCATTATTACCCTGGTTTTAAAACATCAAATTTTTTTATTTCAGACAGCTAGTTCAAAAAATAATTATAATTCAGAGAGGATTATACGTCTGATGTTCGTCCGCTAAGGCCTGGAATAGCTAGCTGGTTAGGGCGCTTGACTCACAATCTGAGGATCTCGGGTTCGAATCCCCGTCCCACCAAACATGCTCGCCATTTCAGCCGTAGGGGCGTTATAATGTGACGGTCAATATCATTATTTGTTGGTAAAAGTGTAGCTCTAGATTTGGCGGCGGGTTATGATGACTAGCTGCCTTCCCTCTACTCTTTCACTGCTATAATTATGGACGGCTAGCGCAGATACCCCTCTTGAGCTTTGCGCGAAATTTAAAATAAACCAAATGGTCCGCTAATGCAACATATTCAGTTGACAACCAGAACAGGGCGTGTTTTCATTGAATCTTAATTAAACTTAGTTTAAGTTTTGCCTCTTCTGAAGGCCCATTCCAAAGTGAGTGAATTTGTCCGGCGACTACAGCAAGTAAAGTTAATATAAACCATATAGTTCATGAGAAGCAAACATTCAATACAGTTTCCCTCA